CCATTCGAGTATACGTGGATTAACCAAATCTTTGTATAGCCATCTATATCATATAGAAAAAGCCGGACAGTCTTCTTTACTTCGTTTTAACTTGAGGCTTTTACAAGAATAAGTCCCAGCTCTGCCGATGATCGTCACGTGACGAACGAAGACTCAGCCAATCTTGGACCGAAACGTTGGAGGATGTCTTGTGGACTGCATCAACCTGAACGTCGTATTACGTCTAAATGGCTGCAGTATAACGCGAATCAGCCGACGTCTTCCGGTGTGATTGACCTATGAATCTCTTCATAATGTACTTACATATGAAATAAAAGTCTCACATCAATCACACTAATTAGTTTTCTTGACTCTCAGTAGATCTCGATTAAGAATTCTAGTCACTATGGTCACCCCGCACATAAGTTGGTCGAGAGATGATAAATGAATTTCTACACGATACGACTGAACCAACTTGGGTAACCATAACTATTGGGAGGCACGGCCGGGTGGAATTTATTGGAATAATGTGGCCTACTCATGTGATTATGGTAAACTCCAATTATAAAGCCTTTATTAGCCTATGCTGATGATACAATTAACTGTTCTCGGTTGCTTCATTCAACACTCACCTGCTTTGAGATTATATTGATCTTTTGGTGTCATTTCGGTATCATGTTGGATCCAAACAGGTTCGATACCACTAATATTCTACTATCAGTCCTTCATCACCTTAAACGAAATAGGGTGTATAAATTTCATATGCGCAAGCATATTTCTGAGCCATTCGAAGGTCCAAACCACTTCATATTGGTGTTGGTTCAAGCGGAAAATCAGACTCGTCTATTTCACTTCAATCGCAGCTGCCGCATTTACCGTCCAACCTCGGAGGTCATTCATCAACCTTCAATTGCGTAAACTTCCTGGCAGGCTTTTGACTAAAAGCCTCCAATATCCTCCAGATATGTAAGTCTCCAAACTGTAATCTCGATTGTATTCGGACTTTGCAGGTGTCGCCTGTGGGCTTATCTCATCTTTTTGTAATTAATTTGCATTTCGAACAAGTCTTCCTTACACCACAGCCATCTTGCAACGCTTGCAATAGGGACATGCACTTTCTGCCTGCCTCTACTGGATAGACTCTCCTACCTACGAGGCTGGCAACCTGTCTACATTTTGCTATCATCATCATTATCATCATCTTCATCATCATCATCCTTGTCCGCTGATTTGCATGTCCTGCTATTCCCTCGTCGTTTCTGCCAGTCCTGCTCACTCTATCCACCTGTGTGTTCGTACCACAATTCTCCTCTTTGTCGGTATGCGTCCGGAGGTTGTGAACGTGTTTGTAATTTGTTTGTGTGCCCACATTCTTCTGATAAGGTCTGACTTTGCCATGCCACTAGCACCGCTTCCATGTGTATGCCGTTTCGGACACACCGTCCAGTGGGCCCACCTGCACATCGGACAAGGGAAGGGAGGGAGCGAGGTGTGAGAAGAGGGCGAGTCGGTTCGGGCGTTTTGCTGGGCTTCCCGAAGTTTCCCAATCCATCGTCACCTGCGTCCCACTTTGCCCTATCTGCGGCAGGGTAGCAACGACAGGTGTGTCGCCGCATTTAATTTTCATCGCCGCCAGTCGCTGCATCACCTCGTCTGCCCAGTCCGCAATCCTGGTCACAGGCTTTATAGCCTTGCAGCCTTGACAAGGCGTGAGGCTGTTTCAGGTGATGGTGTGGTTGACATGTGTTTCGTGGGCAAGGCCTCGGGTGCCTCGGTGACTAGACCGGCTTAGGCCTTTTACAACTCTACAATTGCTCAGCCAATCGGCGAGACTCGGTTAGAAAGTATGCTACGGACGGATGGATTTGTAGTTTGTTTGTGTTGTTCGTGTTGGTCGAAATGATCGTGTTTATTGAGAATGTGAGTCCCCAGCCCATTGGAAGCAGTCCCATCAACAGTGACAACTTGCATTATCGTCATTTGTCACTTGTTTTCAGGTGAATTTGCAGGATACAGAGCGTGTTTGCTCATCTATTTGAACCTTATTAAAACCCGGTCTACTTGTCTGTTAAGCTCATCAACTCGACCAGACTACTTGTGCCTTTACTTGGGCCATTAAATCATGAAGCACTTGGGCTTATGTAAGGCTTTCTCCTAATTACTCCGTTTAATGACAAGTGTTTTAGTCCTCTCAATGACATACGAACACACACACACACACACAATCAAGTGTACTACTTATAAGGCTGACATGAGAAAGAATTGACCAAATCATGCTTTTGTGTTGTTTTTAGAATACATGGTATATATACATGGTATATAACTAAGGGTCGGTTAGCTATGTTTACAGTTTATCCGCGAAAGTGGCGATAACAGCTCATC